CCAGGAAGCTCGACTCACGTGTCCTACATTTACATAAGGAAAACCCAATACTCAGCAGCAGTAAGGCAAATGGTTGTCTGTGCCCCAGTACCCAGTTTCACCCTGGAACCTAAACTGGCCTGCACACAGGCCATAGCTTGCTTAATTATCAAAAATCCCTTACTTTGACTTGCTATTGACTATTGATTGGACTTTCTGAAGTTACACGCTAGTTTGCAGACTCTTTGTCAGCAGAGACACAAATGCTTTCTGTCTGAAACAGAAGACAACCCCAAAGCCTGCAGTGTTATTCCCTGCAGGGCGTGGTTCATGTCTGCCCTCACTTAGCAGGCTGCCTTTACCACGCCTGCCTCGGCTGATGAAACAAAATCTGTCCCCCAGTCCCCCTGTTTGAACAAACGCCACTATTTTGCTAGTTCCACGGTTGATAAATCTATGACATGCATTGATTCCATATTTGTATGAGAGGCTTGGTTTTCTATTTTATTTTAAAGATGTATTTATTTATTTGAAAGTCAGATTTACACAGAGAGAGAAGAGAGGCAGAGAGAGAGGAGACAGAGAGAAAGGTCTTCCATCCACTGGTTCACTCCCCAGATGGCCGCAACGGCCAGAGCTGTGCCGATCCAAAGCCAGGAGCCAGGAGCTTCTTCCGGGTCTCCCATGCGGACGCAGGGGCACAAGGACTTGGGCCATCTTGTACTGCTTTCCCAGGCCACAGCAGAGAGCTGGATCAGAAGTGGAGCAGCTGGGCCTTGAACCTGCGTCCATATGGCCACATGCAGGCAGTGCCTCTACCCACTACTCCACAGCGCCAGCCCCCAGAGGCTTGGTTTTAACATTCTAAGGATGCACTTGGCCTTGTAAGACTTACTTCAGTAGGTGAGGGAGTCTGGAGAGAAGATTGAGATGTCTTAAGGTAACCTCTGGGAAAATGACAAGCCCAGCAGCACGTGGAAGGGGTGAGCAGGGAGATGGGGGCACACACATGCAGACGGAAGAAAGCTGGAAGACCACCCTCTTCATCTGCAGAGATGAAGACTGTGAGAGACCAGTCACACTTACAAGGTCACAGGAAGCAGCAAAAAGAAGCAGCGAAGCTTTTCCCCAAATCTAAGAAGGGTGCGCGTTTTGCTGGTGGGCAGGAATGGCTGCAGAGGAGAAAGTCTCCCTTGCAACGACATCAGGAACCAGAGACCCGTTGACGAGGCTTCTTGAGCAATCGTCTCCATGTGCCCAGCAGTCTTTACAGAATGAGCTGTGTGAGAGACAGCCCCTGGTGCCGGGAGGGTAAGCTCCAGCCGGGCCGCAGATTAAACATTGTGACACAGCTTTCAGGAAACGGGTGGACAGCTTCGCGTGGTGCAGACGGTCATAGCTCAGAACTCAAAGGAAGTAGTGACAATGGGGCTGGAGTGTGCTACCTTCTATGGCAAGAGATGTGATTAAGGTAAAGACCTTGTGGAGAATTGCTCATCCTGGACAATCTGGCTAGACCCTAAGTGCAACCATATACTTCAAAAAGTTCATGAAAAGTGGAATTAAAAGATAAGTCTACCTGGGCCAGTGCTGTGGCATGGCAGGTTAAGCCGCTGTCTGCAGTGTTGCCAAACCATATGGACTCCGGTTCGAGTCCTGTCTGCTCCACTTCTGTTCTAGCTCCCTGCTAATGCTGCTGGGAAAGGAGTGGAAGATGTCCCAAGTCTTGGATCCCTGCACCCACATACAAGACCCAGATGAAGCTCCTGATTCCTTGCCTCAGCACGGTCCAGCCCCGACCTTTGTGGCCATTTGGGGAATAACCCAGCAGATAGAAGATTCCTCTGTCTCTCTCTCCCTGTAATCCTGACTTTCAAATAAAATAAATGAATCTTTTCTTTAAAAAAGAAGATAAGTTTGGTTAAGTGTAAAAAATTTTAACTGGCTGGTAGTGCAGTGTAGTGGGTAAAGCAGCCACCTCTTTCCCGGCTGTTCCACTTCTGATCCAGCTCCCTGACAATGGTCTGGGAAAAGCAGCAGAAGATGAGCCAAGCGTTTAAGCCCCTGCCACCCACTTGGGAAACCCAGATGAAGCTTCTGGCTCCTGGTTTTGGCTTGGCCCAGTTCTGGCTATTGTGGCCATCTGGGGAATGAACCAGCAGATGGAAGATATTTTTTTAATTTATTTTATTTATTTGGAAGTCAGAATTACACACAGAGAGAAGGAGAGGCAGGGAGAGAGAAAGAGAGAGAGAGAGAGAGAGAAAGAGAGAGGTCTTCTATCCACTCCCCAATTGGCCGCAACAGCCAGAGCTGGGCTGATCGGAAGCCAGGAGCCAGGAGCTTCTTCTGGGTCTCCCACATGGGTGCAGGGGCCCAAGGACTTAGGCCATCTTCTACTGCTTTCCCAGGCCATAACAGAGAGCTGAATTGAAGTGGAGCATCCAGGACTTGAACCAGCACCCATATGGGATGCCTGCACTGCCAGCAGTGGCTTTACCCACTATGCCACAGCACCAGCTCCTCTCTTTGACTTTCACATAGATAAATCTTTAAAAAAAATTTGAAAGCCAAGCATAGTTTTTTCATACTATACACTTTCTGTGACTTTTTAAAAAATGTTGTTCATTTATTTATTTGAGAGAGTTACAGACAGTGAGAGGGAGAAAGAGAAAGGCCTTCCATCTGCTGGTTCACTCCCCAGATGGCCACACTGGCTGGACATGGGATCCATGGCCAGGAACCAGGAGCCTCTTCCCGGTCTCCCATGCAGTGCAGGGGCCCAAGCACTTGGGCCATCTTCTTTTGCTTTCCAAGGCCACAGCAGAGAGCTGAATTGGTAGAGTAGCAGCCGGGACTCGAACTGGCACCCATATGGGATGCCAGCACTGCAGGTGGCAACTTTACCTGCTAAGCCACACAGCGCCAGCCCCTAAATATATATATTTTTAAATTTCAAAATCATTGGCATAAAAAATTTATGGGGAGGGCTGGAGTTGTGGCATAGAGGGTAAACCTGTGACAGCCAACATCCCACATAGGTTCCAATTTGTGTCCCAGCTGCTTTACTTCTAATCCAGCTTCCTGCTATGGCCTGAGAAAGGCAGTGGAAGACGGCCCTAGTGTTTGGGCCCCTGCCACCCACATGGGAGACCCGGAAGAAGCTCTTGGCTCCTGGCTCGATCTGGCAAGCAGTGGCTCTTGTGGTCATCTGGGGAATGACCCAGTGAGTGGAAGCTCGCTCGCTCTCTCTCTCTCCATAACTCTGGCTTTCAAACAAATAAGTCTTTTAACAAATATTTACAGGATCTTTCTTGGTGTGTAAGTCCATCCGGTGAACTTATTTGCAAAGATCTCCAAGTCCTTCTCTTGCATGAAAAAGCCGAGCTACCAACCAGTCTGTGTTAGCAGGAGCCCATCAGTGAAAAATCAAAAAGGTGGCACTGCATTTTGCTTCAGTTTAATGATCCATGGTGTCTCTTCTCTGCAAAACACCAGGTAGGAGAAAAAACCACACGGCTCATGGTGGCACTTTCAGGAGAGAAGAGAGGATGACAGCTAGAGGAGAAGGACTTTTACTTTGTCCTGCACTTGTCTGTACAGGTGGAAGCTTTTACAGTGGCCCTTGTTTATTATGTAACTTTTTGTTTGTTTCTTTTTTTTGACAGGCAGAGTTAGACAGTGAGAGACAGAGAGAAAGGTCTTCCTTCCATTGCTTCACCCCGCAAATGGCTGCTATGGTCGGTGCTGCACCTATCCGAAGCCAGGAGCCAGGTGCTTCCTCCTGAACTTTTTGTTTCTTTAAGAATGGAATGGGGGCGCCGGCGCCGCGGCTCACTAGGCTAATCCTCCACCTAGTGGCGCCAGCACACCGGGTTGAGTCCCGGTCGGGATGCCGGATTCTGTCCTTCTGTCCGGGTTGCCCCTCTTTCAGGCTAGCTCTCTGCTGTGGCCAGGGAGTGCAGTGGAGGATGGCCCAAGTGCTTGGGCCCTGCACCCCATGGGAGACCAGGAGAAGCACCTGGCTCCTGCCTTCGGATCAGCGCGGTGAGCCGGCCGCGGCGGCCATTGGAGGGTGAACCAACGGCAAAAGGAAGACCTTTCTCTCTGTTTCTGTCTCTCACTGTCCACTCTGCCTGTCAAAAAAAAAAAAAAAAGAATGGAATGGGGCCAAGGCTGTGATGTAGCAGGTTCAGCTGCCACCTGCAGGGCTGGTGTCCCATATAAGTGCCAGTTGGAGTCTGAGCTGCTCCACTTCCCATCTTGCTCCCTGCTAATGCACCTGGGAAAGTAGTGGAAGACGGCTAAAGTCCTTGGGCCCCTGCACCCACATGGGAGACCTGGAGGAAGCTCCTGGCTCCTGGCTTCAGCCTGGCCCAGCCCTTTCTGTCTGCTGCCATTTTGGGAGTGAACCAGTGGATAGAGGATCTGTGTGTGTGTGTGTACGTGTGTGCATGTGTCTGTCTGTCTGTCTCTCTCTCTGCCTCTTCCTTTCTCTTTGTAACTCTGTCTTTTAAATAAATCTTTTTAAAAAGAAGAGAAGGAGTGGGAGGGGCTGAAGTGAAAGTTAAATGCCTGACCCAGCTGGGTTGTCTCTCAGGGAGAAGGCAGGAGTTTGCGGCAATGGTCAGGCATCAGGAGATTTGGAGTGACAATAAAAGCCACGCTCCCGGGACACACTTTCTGACCCAGCCTCATGGTCATCATGCCCTTGCTACTCTCTAATGATTTCTGAAGACAGGAAGCTGCAGAACTCCCTCTCAGATGGGCAGACAGGCTCAGGCAGATGTTGGAAGAGGAGTGGAACTTCCCAAACCACCTTCTCATGCTTCTCCCTCAGAGGGGTCCCCCACTCTGGTTTCCAGGGTGCCAGACACACCACAGGCAGGCATGCATGTGAGGGAGGGTACAGCACCACTCCAGGCCCAGCCAGGCCCACCACCAGAATTGCGGCCCAAGCCGGCTTGAATTGCAGTGTCCTCATAGCAACCTCATCACCATGGCAACTGGAAACTGATCCAATCAGCCATCCTTATGGTGCAGGAGAACAGAAGAGATCTTGAGATCATCGGGTATCAACTCAACACTTCACAGACAGGGAAATGGAAGCCGAGGACGGTGTTTTATTCATCATCAATGGTAAGCATCAACGCTGACTCCGGTGATATAAAGAGCTGCTTTAGGACAGGGGCTGTGCATTGCAGCTCAGCTCCAGGACCGCCCATTGTACACGTGAGAAAACGGGATGAGAAAAGACCGGGCTTGCCCAAGCTCCAACTACTGGTTCGTGAGGGAGCAGAACTTGAACCCACACTTGCAGGATTTGAGAGCCAGTGCCCTTAGCCACCTCACCAGCAGAACAGAGGAAGTCACACGTCCTGTTTGTCTCTGCACTGCACAGTAGGACCCTCTGAGTATCCCACACACGTCCCAGGAGTTCTTGGAGCCCAGTAGGATCCGGGCAACTTGGGCCCAGCTGGGAGACACTGAGCAGTCATCCACCCCCCTCAATTGGCACCATCCTTGTAGCACTGCTTGGACCACGATCAGCACTCTCCTGCTCCTGCCTGGGCTGCGACCAGCTGCATTCACTTTTATAAACCAGCACCTAAGACCCCACCTGATACACACCAGTACTGACCTAGTATATGAGTGCTGAGTGGATGGATGTCTGAGGCGCACGCCCTCGGGCTGCTGTGTCCTTGATGTGTGCCTTCTTCCTTGTGCTAGAATGTCTGCACATGCACAACCCCCCACCCCCCCCCCGCCACATAACTCCTGATCCCAGAGGGGTGGACCCACATCTTCTCCCTTCTTCAGAACTGGGGATACAGGAGCCAGAGAACACAAGGTCCAATTTGCTGAGCCCTGGGAAGAACTCTGATCCACTGGGTGCAATCTCCCAGAAAATTAGCCTGTGACATTTCCCCATCTCTTGACCCATGCTTTTTGTGTCTTTTGGTCACCTCCCAAGCGGCTCATCCTGTGAGTGAGAGCATCCCCTGAGAGCATTGTCTGGGTCCCAGGACTTGTCAGTGTAGCTTCGCTTCACACCACCGACAATTCCTCTTAGAAAAAGTGACAACCTTCCTCCCCATCGACATTTGTCCTTTTAAACAAATTATTTTCATTTTATTTGAAAAACAGAGACATAGAGACAGACAGACAGAAATCTTCCACCTGCTGGTTTGCTCCCCAAATGCCCACAATGGCTAGAACTGGGTCAGGCTGAAACCACCATCTGGGTCTCCCACATGAGAGGCAGGAGCCAAGTACTTGAGCCACCACCTGCTGCCCCTCAGGGTTTGCATTACAGGAAGCTGGATTGACCATTGCACCAAATGTCCATTCAACACTTGCTCTTTATGTCTAATCAGAATCCGAGCCAATTCAAGAATCCTTCACTTACTCAGCCCAAACAACAGTAGCAACAACACTAAAGGCCACCAACCCCGAAACATGACTGAGAGCCCTTACACAGGCAGGGTACTCAGACGGATATTGGGTGCATCAGTGAGCCAGACAAGCATGGTCCCTGTTCTCCGAACGCATGCTGGCAGAGGTGTGCCCAGTGTCCCCCGGGTCCCTCCACGTCACCACAGACACCCTCTGCAGCTCCTTCCCCTCCCAAGGTCACTGTCCCGGGTCAGGCTCCTAGGGACCAGGGACCGGCCAGCAGGGCCGAAATGTAAGGGAGCTTCCCGGGAAGCACTCTGGGGAACCCCACCCGTGGGGCGGCAGGGAAATGGGACAGGTGGAAGGAGCAGCTGAGCAGCCTCCGCCAGGCCTCTGGTCATACGGGGAGCTCAGAAGCAGGGACGGCCCCTCGGAGGACAGGGAACCAAGCCTCTACCTCCCATCCATCAGTGGCTGGACACAGAGGGCAGCTCCCTCCGTCTCATGGCGATCCCAGAGAGGGGCCCCGTGGTGAGCAGGCAGCAGCCACACTCCCACAGGAGGAGGCCCGGGCCTCAGTGCTGAGGGATCTTGAGCAGTGCCCCAGCCTTCACGCAGCTGCCCCGCTGGCCGCTTTAACTGCGTGTTCTGAGCTTGGCATCACCTGCGGCACAGGTAACCCCTCCTTGGGGACAGCCCGCTTCCCAAGCACCTGAGGGTAACCAAGTCCCAGGTGTGCAGACAACTCAGGCCTCACAGGCCCTTAGACCCAGACCCTGTGAGTGTCAGGATCCTCACCAAAACACTTTACACGGAAAGCTAATTAGCACGGAGAAACCAGGAGCTTTCAAAAGAAGCCGAGGCCTGGAATTCCCTGGCTGATGTTCGGGTAGAATTGACTGGTGTGGGGGCACCCCAGCATCTGTTTCACACCTCCAGGTGTGAAAATCACCAGGTTGGGAATCACCACTCTGGTGACAAACTTACTAACTGAGAAGCAGGAAAGCAGAGCGACCGTGACCTTCAGCAGGGCAGCTTCAACAGCCTCAGGGTCTCCCCCACCAGTGGGAAGTTGGAATGAGGCAGCGTGCACGGACCCAGGGCCACTGGAGGCCATGCACAGGGTCCGCCCCTTCAACCTTGAAGGGTGTCCATGTCTTTCCCAATCACAGAGGGGGAAATTGGTGGGCAGAATCGCCCAGGCTTCCCTTCTGGGTTCTTTTCTATGGTCGTCTTTTCTTAAGGCTTCTCACCCACTACAAGTCCTCCTAAGCAAACAATCAACCCTGCCTCGGTGCCTGCAAAGGCTGGCGATGAAGTGTGCAGTGCTGGGGCCGTGGTCTCTGGCCTCCTCCACATTTGGGGCTGGGGTGGTGCCCTGCCTGCCGCAAGGTGCAGCGCACGCGCCGTGTTGCTATGGACAAGGCGAAGCCCAGCGAAACGGGGACCTGGTGGCCTTTTGGCTGGAAGTTTCTGTTTGGGTGACCTCTCAGCCAACACTGTGAGCAAATGGACTGCTGGCTTATTCTGGGATCCTTACCCAGCTTTCGGGGGCGGGTCCTCGGTTAACTGCGAATGAGCTCCCTTGGTGATCAAGAACCTCTTTCCAGCCCGCAGTGTTGGCGCCCTGTAGAAATCTATGAGCACATCTTCCAGTTTTAGTTCACTGTGGAAAGGGCCAGACACACCTAATAAAGACAATGGGGGACCGGCGATGCGCTGGAACACGCAGATCTCAACTTCCAACTCAGGCCGTGCTGTCCCTCGGGGTAACTATTGATTTGGTATTTAAGTTCTGTCAATATTTACCTCTTCAGTCGATGAAGTTTGATGTCTATGTCAGGGCACTGATATCTGCTTCGAGTTTATTTCTCACTTCCTGCTTTTGCTCTATCAGCCTGGGGAGGAGAATGGGGTTTGGCTGGGGGGAACGGTTCCTAGACGACCTGGTGTGGGATGGGGCCGTAGTTCCGTTTCTCCCCCTTGTGCCTCGGCGTCCTGGGTGGCTGCAGAGGTCCCTTCACCGCTGGCATCTGATGCCTCCATCCTTGAATATCTAGAAGGATCAGGTAGGTGAATCACCCAAGTTTTGCGGGTGGCAAGTCGGGAAGAGAAAACATCATTTTCCATTTGGATAGACTAAAGAACAGTGTTTGCACTGACTTCAACTGTGCCTTCTTGGAAGCAGATTTCTGCAGAACATCATGCAAACATTGACAGGGCCTTCAAACTGGGACTCAGGAGGCCAGACCCTGTCAGAGGACTGTGGGCTCTGTGGTAGGGCCTGCTGGAGACCCCTGCGAGGCCTCCCCGCCCAGAACCTGAGTTCTCTCTGATCCAAGGCCTTGGCCAGCAGCTGCAGAAGGGACCAGCACCAACGTTCACCCCAGCCATGCTCTGCAGAGCTGTTCAGGGGTCAACGACTGTGCTACAAGAGCTGTGAGGGTGACCGGCCCAAAGCTTCCCCTACAGCAAGGGCACAGCCAGTCAACTCCCAAGTGAGGCCGGGAGCTGGGGCCTCCTGCCTTCCCAGGGCTGTATCTCCCCTTAGCTCTCTATGCAAACAATAAAACTGGGTTGGATGCCGCGTGCGCTCTGCCCTGTTCTAGGAAGGGAACAACCCAGACAACCGTCACCAGCCGCAGTAGTTCATTCTGGGATGTGCACCCGCCTGGGACCCGAGGACGTTTCCACAAGAGACCAGAATTGGAATCTGTGCCCCTCCCACTAAAGTAAGCCACACCCCTCCCAACGAGGGTGGGAGTCATCCAATCAGCTGGGGGTCTGGGTGGACCGAGAGGCACGAGAAAGGAGAGTTGTCCCGCTCTGCCTGTTTGTCTGCAGCCTGGACATTGGCCCTCTCCTTCCTTCAGAGTGGAACTCCCACCCTCAGCTCTCCTGGGTCTCCAGTTTGCTGACTGCAGATCTTTGGACTTCACCTCCCCTGTAAATGTGAGCGGTCCCTTGTAGCCTCTCTCTGTCCCTCTCGGTACGTGTGTGTTTGTATAAGCACACACATGGCGTGTGTATATTTACAGTCACTCTGAGATAAAAAGTATAGCGAGGTTAACGATGTAACAGTTACATAGCCATTTACTGTCAGTATCAAGCATTATCCACTGTAGATAATTGCATGTGCTACACTTCTTTTTTAAAATATTTATTTTATTTACTTGAAAGGCAGAGTTACAGAGATAAAGGAAGAGACACAGAGAGAAAGAGAGACCTTCCATTCACTGGTTTACTCCCCAAATGGCCTCAAAGGCTGGGTCTGGGCCAGGCCGAAGCCAAGAGCCTGGACTCCATCCGGGTCTCCTATGTGGATACAGGGGCCAAGTCCTTGGGCCTGTCTTCTACTGCTTTCCCAGGTGCACTAGCAAGAAGCTGGAGCAAAAGTGGGGCAGGCAGGACTGGAACCAGTGCCTATACAAGGATGCCAGCATTGCAGGTGGTGGCTTAACCCGCTGTGCCACAATGCCAGCCACATGTTGTTATTGTTAAATGAACTAATAATGGGGCCGGCACTGTGGCATAGTGGGTAAAGCCACTACCTGCAGTGCCGGCATCCCATATGGGAGCCGATTTGAGTCCCTGCTGCTCCACTTCTAATCCAGCTCTCTGCTATGGCCTGGGAAAGCAGTGGAAGATGACCCAGGTCCTTGGGCCCCTGCACCCATGTAGGAGACCCGGAAGCAGCTCTTGGCTCCTGGATTCAGATCGAAGCAGCTCTGGCCATTGTGGCCAACTGGGGAGTGAACCAGTAGATGGAACCCCTCCCCCATATCTGCCTTTCAAATGAATAAATAAATCTTTTTTAAAAAATGCCAGTTGTACTCCCTGTGAGAAAGTTCCCAGGAAAGGAGAAGCTGGGAGCATGGTGGCCACAGCCACAGCAGGCTAGGGGTGACATTTCTGAGACAGTCTGAAGGGCAGGCCCATCACATGAGCGTCCATCTGCAACCCTCCCCGAGCATCTAGGGGACACAGAGGGACGGCTCAGCTTTCTCCTGTCTCTCCAGGAGAACAGCTTAATCCACTTAGCTGTTTCTGTCCAACACGCCCCACAGGCCTGCAACCCCTGGCTGAGCACCAGCATCTAAAATGAAAACTCATGGCTTCTCCTCGGCCCAGCTCAATCTCAAGAGTTAGAGGTGGGGTGCTTCACCCCAAACCTTGCAGAAGAGGGAGGAAGGGACAAAGGAGGAGGAACCTGCCAGGATGCTGCCTCACTGTCCCGGGGAAACGCTGTGACTCTCTAATAAAGACACTGTTACTGATACTGCAGTCACGACTCAGCGTCTGCCACTTCAGTCTCCTTACAAAGCATCAGCTGCACCAGGGGAGGGAAGAGGGGGCGTGTCCTAACGTCAGGCCCCGCCTCCTCACACGGGATGGTCCCTGTCCCAGTGTCTCACTCAGTGAGAGAAGGAATCCGGAAGAGTTTGAAGTTCAAGGAAACAGACCTGGGCCAGGTTCAAGTGTTTTATTGCCACAAGCGCAGTGCGTTAACACTTGGGCAGATTGTGGAGAGTTCCATTTGCTTGATGACGCATCTTGTCCAGGAAGTGGGGATGGGGTGGGGGAGGGGAGATCCAGGTTCCTTAGGTTTTCAGAGTCTTCCTCAGCTGGGTGCTCCCCTCCCGCTGTGATGAGAGCTGTGCAGATGTCAGGAGCAGATGGAGGGCAGGGGTTTCTTCAGATCCACCATGGGTCTCAGTCTGTGGCCCGAGGAGGGCTGAGGCAGGGGGTGCTTCAGGGCAGGGGGGTTTGGGGGCGGGAGGCTGCCAGGGGACAGAACACCTGTGTCCCACAAAGTCCTCCACGTCTGGCCCCAGCCGCGCTCCTGGGGAACTTGAGCTGCAAGCCCCGTGGGACCAGGCGCATTGTTCACCCCCTCCTGGGGCTGCGCTAGTGGATTCCAACCATGTGTTCTCAAGGGAAATCTCTCTGCTCACAGCCAAGATGCGGCGGACCTGGAAGCCAGGGCTGCCCGCTAACCTGAACTCGCCCGCTGGTTCCCAGCTGGCTGGGAGAGCCCTGGGCACAGACAGAAGAGATGCTGGGCTGCTTCTGCACAGTGGGCCCTGCTGGTCACAATGGGAGACTTCACGGGGTGGGGGGCGCTTGGGGATGCTGGGAAGATGGGGATCCGAGTTGCCTGAGCCCAGGAAAAGGACCCCTGCCCCACCAATCAGAGAGTGCCCAGGACTCTCTCCCACCCTTCCTCAGCTCTGCCCACACTTCAGGCCAACTTTCTTTCCGATGCTGCTACAAAAGCTATGTTGAAAGAACAATAGTCCCTCGGCCTTGTCACCTGGAGCTGCATGCGATCTACAAGAGGGAACTGTGCCTTCTCCCCTGACTTCACTCCACCTGGCAGGTGTTCTGCATCCTTCCCCTCCTCTCCCTCCCTCCCTGCTCCCTTGCACGCTGGAACACACTCCCGCACAAGCACCTCAGTGCGCACGCCTCCAGGAGCAGCACAGCTCAGATGGGGCGCGTCTTCACAAGGCGTCTCCGCAGCTCGCTTAACCACTTAGCAGTGGTTAGAGTCACCCCAGGTCAGGACCCAAACTCCTTCTGGGCTATTGTGGACAGCCAAGGGAGAGGGAGGCTGAGCTGTGCACCCTGCAGTCCCTGTGCGTGCAGTGGGCAACTCAGGCCCTGCGACTGTGCTTTGTCTTCATGGTTTCTGGTCACCCACAGGGTGCCTTTCGGAGTTTATCTTAACTCAGCCAGTGGTAGAATGTGCTCTTACTGAGGCCAACTCCTCTGCCTCCTGGTCTCTCTGCAGGATTATACCAGCTTCCCAAGGCCATGGCCACCCCTCACCCAGCCCTCCAGGGAGCAGGACAACTACAGGTGGACATCTGTCCCCACCCTCAGGCCCTCGTCCACCTGGCTATGCGGTTCACTTCTCCCCTGCATGGTTCCATGCCCTGTAACGCAGATCTGCTGGCACAGGAGCCACTGTCCGCCCAGGGCCCTCTCCCACTTGTCCCTGACTTGGTCCCCAGGACACAGCCAGGTACAGAGTGGCCACTCAGCACCTCCCAGATGTGACCCTTCCCTGGGGCCACTATCTCTTCCTCCTTTCATTAGCTGAAAATAGGTATCAGGACTTACTTTAAAGGCACTTGATGTGAGAGATCCTGTGAAATTCTCACTTCATTTTAAACCCCAGCTTAATCAGACGGTTTTTCTTGGAGCTAAACACTTTCATCCTTCGCCTCCTTGGGGAAATGGGCAAAGCTGAAGATCTCCTTGCTGATGAATCCATTTCTTCTTCCAGCCTCCTTCCCCTCTCTCATTTCTGTTGCATGAAAGACCTGCCTCCTCTCTGGATCTGTTGGTTAAGCAGAGGCACCTGCACATAGGAAGTGGCTGGGATGAAGGCCTGGCCCTGGACTCTTCCTCTGCTCTCCCAGAATTTGCACTTAACTGGTACCCACAAATTACTCACCCTGGTTAGGACCCTCCAATTTGGGCATTTTTTCTTTTCTTTTCTTTTCTTGAAAGGCAGGGAGACACAGAGAGGGAGATCTTCCACCTGCTGGATTACTCCTCAAATACCTGCAGCAGCCAGGGCTGGACCAGGTCAAAGTCAGGAGCCTGGAACTCAATCCAGGTCTCTCCCATGGATGACAGGGCCTCAGGTTCTTGAGCCATCACCTGCTGACCCCCAGAAAGCACATTAGCAGGAAACTGGATTGGAAGTGGAGGAGCCAGGACTCGAACCAGGCACTCCGATGTAGGATATGGGCATCCCTAGTGGTGACCTAAGATACTGTGCCAAACACTTGTCCTGAATTTGGCCAGTTAGGAATTTCATGCAATTCCAACAAGAGCAATGTGTTTCAGGAAAACATGAAGATGCATTGAGATTTGGGGAGAATTTTTGGTAAGGTGGAGGTATCATGATTGCCCAGTTGCAGGAGAGTTTTGGCTTCAGGCGACAAGGGGACACTGGGCAGGCAGCCTGAAACTCTGGAGCCTACACAGTTTGTCTGCCAGAGCTGACCTGTGACCTGTCATGGTCGAGGAGGCCAAAAAAGCAGGGAAAACAAGACAGCTACTGTGGGCATCAGGAGAACTCAGGAGGCAAGCTGAATGGCCAAGAGGAAACCAAGCTGGGTCCCAGAAGCCCAGTGGCAGCTGGCTCCTGCAGGAGGCCTGGTGATGTGACTGAGTTCCACAGTAAGACACCTGGGCTGTGATGCCCTGCATGTCCGCACCCTAATTACTTGTTAACCTCACATTTACACTGAATATACTTCTCTGTGTGTGAGGTTTTTGTACGATGCCAAATGGTAAATAAAATAGTCTCTTTTCTCTTAGTTGGCCAAAGACTAGTAAAAACTCTGTTGTGGACACATACCAGCCCGGAGCCCAGTGTTTTCAAACCATGCTTTAGGGAATCACAAGGAATTCAAGTCAACATATGTATTCATCAAGCAACAAACACATCCGAAGGACAGCGGCGCTGATGAAACAAAGCAGTGAAGCTCAGGCACATGTCCTGGTGCTGGGCTCTGGCCTTTGGCCACCCTGCTCATCCCTACACCCAGGGCTCCTTCATTCATGCCCGATCATGTGGCAAAGGTTCCACTGATCAATGAAACAGCACCCTGCCACCCCCAACCCACTCAGGCCTAGGCCCGTGGCCCCAGAGCCCTGCTGCTGTGGCTCTGTACCTGCTCTCGGCCTATGGCTTTGCTTTGGGTATGTCTCTCAGTATCCACGGACTTGTCCAAGGGCTGAGTGTACAGCCATCTGCCTGGTCTTTCCCACCAGCTGAGACCTTAGAATCCAACCCTGACACCAATCACAGGACAAGGATCCCACCAAGCCACCTCAGTACCCTCCCCTCTCCAGGCCTTGGCCAATACACTCACCCAGCAGGGGGAGGCGTGGAAGCAGGGTGGGTAGGGAGAGTGGCTCCTGGGACAGGAAGGAGTCAATGCAGGTGAGGTCCAGGGGCCCTGAAGCCATGCTGGTGCATCTGCTCCTGGCCGTCTGAACTGGGGCATTGGAGAACAGTGTAGAACCCTCCTCTTGACATTTGAAAACACGGGAACAAGTAGAATAAGTTACAGGGCTGCGTCATAGGCAGGCTCTCCTAGGAGCAGGCCTAGAGCTCCTTAGTTTCTCCGTCCGTGGCTGCGAGTGACGGGGGGCACAGGTAGTCTCACAGGTGAGGCCACACCCAGTCTGAGCTGCTGAGAGCAATCCTGGCAGTGAAGGGGTGAGGAGGACCCTGGCAGAGTGAGTATAGGGGATGTGGCCCCTACTGCCCCTGCAGGCAGAATTTCTCACATGGGTTGGAAAGTACATTCTTCCTGCTTCCAAGCACATCTGATGTCTTAGTGTTGAGTGTACAATGTCAACTAGTAACCCTGGGGGTGGGGCATAGGTGATCCTCTGCAGCCCACACTCACGCCTCGTGCACAGCGCCAGGGGCTTGCTTCCCCCACGGCACCGGCACACATGCTGCTGCTCACACAGTGAAGGTGATCAGGAGCTCTTAAGGGGGTTGGAATCTCAAAGTCCCCCAGGAAGGGCAACCAGGCTCCAGAACACCTTCTGTGGGGCGGCTCCAGGGCCAGGTTGTGAATGGGCTGGTCCCAAGATTCACAAATCCACTGTGACTGTGTGAAGCTGCCCAGCGCACCATCAGAGGAAGGCAAACAGGTTTCAGGCGCTCATTGTTAAAGCTGTGGGCAAGCTTTCCACTGAGGTTCTTCAGGACCTGATGCTGTACTCGCTGTACCAGGGAGGCATCCATTTGAAAGGCGTTTCTCAGGGCCAGCACTGTGGCATAGCGGGTAAAGCTGTTGCCTGCAGTCCTGGCATCCCATGTGGGTGCCAGTTCAAGTCCCGGCAGCTCCACTTCCAATCCAGCTCTCTGCTACAGCCTGGGAGAGCAGTGGAAAGTCCTTGGGCCCCTGTACCCACGTGGGAAACCCAGAAGATCCTGGCTCCTAGCTTCAAGTCAGTGCCTCTCCAACCATTGTGGCCAATTGGGGAGTGAACCAGTGGATGGAAGACCTCTCTTTCTCTCTCTCTCTCACTGCCTCTCCTCTCTCTGTGTAACTCTGACTTTCAAATAAATAAATAAATAAATCTTTAAAAAAAAAAAAGGAAAGAAAGAAAGGTGTTTCTCAAGGCCAGTGGTAAGCCAAGTGTGGTGCTGGGGGTGCATTGCAGCGGTCCAGGTCGAAGGTCCCTGATGTGGGATTGGGCAGTTTGGCTTACGAAAGGCATTTCACAGG